GAGATCAACTGCTGAGCTGCAGTCCGGGGAGGGACTTTCTCAATTAGTATGTCTTTTGGAGAAGCAAGGGCTTTTATTGTTTAATACTGTTTAGGTTATATTGTTTAATAAACAGGTTTTTTTTCACTTTTCTCCAAGGAGGTATTTTCTCCCAGACTGGTTGGGGGAGGCGCCCATTGAATCTGCTTTCCGAGAGGAGCCCTTTGGGGGTTCTCTCCCAAATTTGCCCTGAACCGGGACAGTACCACAGGAAACCACAAAGTTTATGGTTTCCACTTGCTCCATGTTCCCTGCACTGGAGGTGTCTGCTTGAGCTGGCTTGGGGGTACCTGGGGTGCACAGAGCAGGTCCCGCTTAGAGGTCTGTACACACTTTGTATGTGTAGAGGCAGCTCCCACAGGGATCCCGTGGGAATCCATCTGAGCTGGGACGAGTCTTTGTGGCACCAGACTGCCATCCTTGCCACGTTTCAGTAGGTGTCACCACACACCAGCGCTGGGAGGGTGACGCTGTGCTGAGGACACCCAGAGCTGGCTCGGGGCTGAGGGGAGCTCCCTGAGCCGGGCAGGGATGGAGGGATGGATGGATGGATGGATGGATGGATGGATGGATGGATGGATGGATGGATGCATGGATGGATGGATGGATGGATACATGGATGGATGGATGCATGGATGGATGGATGGATGGATGGATGGATGGATGGATGGACGGAGCTCATCATCAGGCTGAAAGCTTTGCATTACCTGGTGGGGCACAAGCTGTTCCTGGGGTGCTTATTCCCCAGGGTAGGGCTGGGGGATCAGGGGCTCTTGGTCTCCCTCCTTTCCCTCCCCAGGGAATACAGACTGCAGAGCCTTGCTCTGGCTGGAGAAAGCAGTATCTGCCACAACACCCTCAAGCACTGCACACCTGGGGCCTTGCAGCTTTGCAAGGAGGGAAACAAAGTGGTTTTCATGGAGAAGAGCATGAGTCATGTGGGATGGGGACTGCTCTGAGTGTGCTGGGGCAATGGGTGCTGCACAGGTAACAGAGTGCAACATGAGCACTGCGCAGGCAATCCTGTGCCCAGAAATGCTGGGTCCTGGTTATTTCCTGTGAGTTTGTAACAGAAAGAGTTCACACTTCCCCCCTGCTGTGAATAAAGCACTTCAGAATGTTCTTCAGGTGAATTTGTTTCACAGAATCACAGAATCACAGAAATTCTAGGCTGGAAGAGACCTATAAGATCATCAAGTCCAACCCATGTTCTAACACTTCAACTAGATCATGGCAGCAAGTGCCACATCCAGTCTTTTTTTAAACTCTTTGAGGGATGATGACTCCACCACCTCCCTGGGTAGATGATTCCAGTATCTGACCACTCTTTCTGTAAAATACTTCCTTCTTAATTCTAGCTTGCATCTCCCTTGGCGCAGCTTGAGACTGTGTCCTCTTGTTCTATCTGTTGTTGCCCGGAGAAAGAGACCGACCCCCAGCTCACCACAGCCACCCTTCAGGAAGTTGTAGAGAGTGATAAGGTCACCCCTTAGTCTCCTTTTCTCCAGGCTAAACAACCCCAACTCCCTCAGTCGTTCCTCATACGGCTTGTGCTCCAAGCCCCTCACCAGCCTCGTTGCTCTCCTCTGGACACACTCAAGCATCTCAACGTCCCTCCTAAAGTGAGGGGCCCAGAACTGGATGCAATACTCTAGGTGAGGCCTCACCAGTGCCGAGTACAGGGGAAGAATGACCTCCCTGCTCCTGCTGGCCACACCATTCCTGATGCTAGCCAGGATGCCATTGGCCCTCTTGGCCACCTGGGCACACTGCTGGCTCATGTTCAGCCGACTGTCAGCCAGCACCCCCAGGTCCCTTTCCACCTGAGCACTGTCCAGCCACACCGTCCCCAGCTTATATCGGTGCAGGGGGTTATTGTGGCCAAAGTGCAGGACTCAGCACTTGGACTTATTGAAATTCATCCCATTAGATTCTGCCCATCCATCCAACCGTTCCAAGTCCCTCTGCAAAGCCCTACGTCCCTCTAACAGATCTACACACGTTCCCAGTTTAGTGTCATCTGCAAATTTGCTGATAAAAGACTCTAAACCCTCATCCATGTCGTCAATAAAAATATTAAACAGAACTGGCCCCAGTACAGACCCCTGAGGGACACCACTGGTGACTGGTCGCCAGCTGGATGCAGCACCATTCACCACCACTCTCTGGGCCCGGCCATGCAGCCAGTTCTGAACCCAGCAAAGAGTATTCCTGTCCAGACCACGGCCTGTGAGTTTGTCTAGGAGTATGCTATGGGAGACAGTGTCAAAGGCCTTGCTGAAATCCAAGTAAACAACATCTACAGCCTTCCCTGCATCCACTAGGTGGGTTACCTGGTCATAAAAGGTGACCAGGTTAGTCAGACATGATCTACCCCTCCTAAATCCATGCTGGCTGGGTCTGATACCCTGGCCATCCCGCAAATTTTGCGTGATGGCGCATAATATAAACTGTTCCATTATTTTGCCAGGTACTGAGGTCAGGCTGACTGGTCTATAATTACCAGGATCCTCCTTTGCACCTTTTTTGTGAATGGGTATCACATTGGCCAGCTTCCAGTCATCCGGAACCTCACCAGTGAGCCATGACTGTTGGTAAATGATGGAGAGTGGCTTTGCAAACGCATTTGCCAGCTCTCTCATTACCCTGGGGTGGATCCCGTCTGCTCCCATAGATTTATGAGTATCCAAGCATTTCAGTAGTTCTATGACAGCCTCCTCTTGGATAATGTGGGGACCATTCTGCTCCCTGACACCATCAACCAGCCCAGGCGGGCAGGTGTCTTGAGGGCAAGTCATCTTCCCATTAAAAACTGAGGCAAAATGGGCATTAAACATTTCTGCCTTCTCCTCATCTGCGGATACTAAGTTCCCACCTTTGTCCAATAAAGAACAAAGGCTGGTCTTACCTTTCTTTCTACCATTAATGTATTTGTAAAAACATTTTTTATTATCCTTTACAGAAGTCGCCATTCTGAGTTCAAACTGAGCTTTGGCCTCCCTAATTTTTTTTCTGCATACTCTAGCAGCCCTCTTGAATACTTCCTTAGAGACCTGACCCTTCTTCCAACACTGATACATCCTCTTTTTATTCTTAAGTTCCTCCAAAACCTCCTTGCCCAGCCAGGCTGGACGTTTACCCCGTTGACTGATCTTTCGGCACACAGGGATGGTCTGTTCCTGCGCCCTCAAGATCTCTGTTTTGAAGTATACCCACCCTTCTTGAACTCCTTTGTTTTTAAGGGCTGCTTCCCAAGGGACGCTCTGAATAAGTCTCCTAAACAGGCCAAAGTCTGCCCTCTGGAAGTCCAATGCAAGAGTTTTACTGGTGCTCTTCCCTCCCTTGTTCTTTCCATCTTCTCTGCAGCTTAATCCAAGCCTTGGTCCTTGATATTTTCTCCTCCCTTGGAGGCATAGGTCCAAGCACAACCTCAACCAGATTCTGGCACCAGCTGGGAACACAGCAATGCCCTCTCCAGCCCCAACAGCAGCTGAATGTCAATGGATTGTTTAAAAATTATTCCAGTGCTTGTATTTCCCATTAAAAGTGCTACATTGCTGGTGCAAAGGCCAGAAAATCTTTTTGGGTTGGCTATATCACCTGCACATTATTTAATAAATGACTTCACAAAGAGCTAACTGCAGCCACAGAGTCAACAGGGAAATTGGACAGCAGTTAACAGATAACAGGTTGGGTGAGGCCAAGTTAACGGGGCCAGCTGTGACTTGGGAATGGAAGTCTGAGCAGGAAAGGGCACAGTGAGACACCCACCATGCCCTGGATGGAAAGTGGCAGCTCCAGGGGCTGGATCAGTGCAGTTCTGGGGTGCTCAGGGGCTGCACAGAGCAGCAGAGGTGATATTGGGCTTTAGCTGCTCTTTGTCCCTGCCTGGTTGTGAGATCAGGGCTGCCCTTTGCAGGGCTGGGGGAGCCTTTCCCTACCCAGCCATTCCCAGAGCATGTTTCCAGGACAGCTTGGGCTCCTGCCAGCCACAGAAGTCCTACAAAAATATTTGAGGAACCCCTTACACAAGCTGAGTGGGACATTGACCAATTGCTGGGAAATGGAGTAACTTCCCATTTTAGTGCCCATTGCCCAAGGGCACCTAAAGAAAACAGATTTACCTAGAGGCCAGGGCAGGGTTACAGTTTCCTTGGGAGGGAGGAATGGGTGGTGGGATCTTTGCCATCCAAACAAGGAATACAGCCCCTAATCCCTACAGCCATAAGGAGTCAGGGCTCAGTCAAGCTGTCCTTGTGCTGCATCGTGGCTGATGACAGGTCTGTGAGGAGTGGGTTATCCTACCCCACAGGGATCAGCCACCTTCGTCCAGCACCAACCTGCTTCCCATATGGCAGAAGCCACCAGAGAAGATACTGGGGTACAGGTGACCTTCCACAGAGCTTGAGAAAGACTCACCTTGGGCTGAGTCAAAGCTGTTTTCCCCACATCAACTCATACTCCCAGTGGGGCAGGAGTAATGAGGATTTGGGGCTGGGACAAGGTGCCTCTGGGAAAAATCTTGAAGGATCATTCCTGGGAAGGCACTGGCAGCCTCATGCTGATTTGGATCATGCTGTAAGGTTTGGTTTGCAAGCAAAGTACAGAGGGAAACCCATTTAACAGAACCCCAGAGGAGAACACAGGCACCACAAGGGTTTCTCCTGAAAAAGGATATCTGGAGAAGATACCTGCCCAGGGGAAGGCAGCTCCACTGCCTGTCAGGGTGGACAATGCCCTGGCACATCTCCCTTGGCTTGTCCCTCAGCCCCAGGTGTGAGTTGTGCAATACAAAAGCTGCTTTTTGAGCAATCAAACAATCACATCTGAACCTTGCACAAGAGGCTTTTCTGGAAACCAAAACGCAAGAGGCAGAGGAAAGAGGAAAGAGGCACAAACACCAGGTGTCCCCACCCTGCCCAAGGGTTTAAATGCGGGTGTCCCGCACCCCTCGGGGACACGGCAGCATGAAGGCGGCGGCCGCCCTGCTCCTGGTGGGGATGCTCATCCTGTGGGCAGAGCTGCCAACAGGTAGGGCATGTCCGAGGGCGAGGCAGGGGAGGAAAAGCTGGGGGGCTGGGAAGGAGCCGTGTTTACACGGATCCCATGGGAGGGGAAGGGGTGTTGTTTGCCGGGCAGCATCGCCCCGGTGCCCCTCGCTGTCCCGGAGCCCACCGGTGCCGTGTCCCGCAGGCAGCGCCTGGTCCTGCCCCCCGGTCCGCTTCACCTGCGCCCTGCACAACCCACCCAACCAATGCTTCGTGGACCGGCACTGCCCCCGCGGCAAGAAGTGCTGCCGCACCTTCTGCGGGAGGAAATGCCTCTCCAAGCCGCCTGCCATCCCCGTCACCTACGGTAGGAGCTCCGGAGCCCCGGCGGCTCCCGGGGCAGAGCGGGGTATGATGCTCGGGGCTGTGCCCAGCTGCCAGAGCCCCCGGCGGGCCCCTGGTGGGCAAAGGTGGGCAAAGGACGGCTGGGGTGAACACCAACATCTTCCTTTCTCTCTCTTTGCCAGTGTGAGCTCCGGCTTCCAGGACAGACTGAGGGTCACCTCAGGATTGCCACTCCAGCTCAGCTCCAGGATCACCCTGTGACAGCTGCTGCACTGTGCTCTGTGCCACCCCTTCCCCTCCCTCCCTGCTCCCCACCGCTCTTTCAACAAATAAAAGCGGCTTTTCTCAAGGGTGTTTGTGTTGTGTGACTCCTTTCCTCACCTCCTCTCTCCACCCTGGCACACAGCCCCCCTGCTGCTTTCACCCCAGAATTTCTTCTGCTGGGGAAAGAGGATGAAAACAGCCTGGCTTCGCACCTGCAGTGTGGTTAGGGGCTGGCTTGGGGGAGAAAACCCATCCAGAGGCACACAGCCTCCAGGAGGAGAGAGCAATGGGAAGGGACTGGGGCAAGACATGCCAGGCTGCTTTAGGCAGGCTGCAAGGGGCCCTGGAGAGGCTGTGTGTCATCCAGGTCCTCCCAGCTGCACAGGGCTGTGGGAGGGCACTGACCCTGCCTGCCCAGGGGGCACAGAAGGCAGAGGCTCCCTATGGATACCCCACTTGGGAATCACCTGGAGAGCACAGGGGGGGTTACACACACCCAAACCCCAAATGGTGCTGAGCCTGAGCTGGTGGGGAAAATTCAGCTGAAGAATCTTGCCTGGGAAAGCCTCAAGCCAGGGCAATACAATCATTGCTCCAAGGGGTTCCTGTAATTTTTGTACAGCTGAGTGCTAGGGGCAAAACTTCAGGACCTGCCAAGAAACAAAACATCAGCAGAAAAGAGTGTGCACAGCCTGAGGGAGCTGCTGGCCTCTGTGCATGGCAGAGCCAGGCGCTGCCACCGCCCACTGCAGGGCAGAGCATCACCCAGCCTGATGCCCAAAGGGGGCTGCCAGGCTGATGCCAGGCTGGCTGAGAACGCCCCATTCTGCACCAGCCTGGAAGAGGAGGAGGTTGGTCTGTGTGCACACACCGAGGGAGCAGAGAGGAGCTGCAGCTGTGGGAGAGCGGGGCTAACGATCCCCATGGCCAGGCTCGAGCAAAGCAATCTGGAGAGCAGCACCAGCTGGCCGGATCTTAAACTACCCACAAACACAGCAGGGTGAAGGCTCTGGCTGTGGCATTGCCACCTTGCATGGTCCATGGGAGATGCTGGGAGCTTCCTGGCCAAGACTGAGGAGAGCATCTGCTGGAGAGTCCTTATATGGTCACATCTGAGTAGTGACCTCTGTGAAGCAGCGAGAAGAAGGGAAAAGTCAGAAGTTATTGGACGTAAGGAGGAAGTGTTATGATAAAAAAACCCAACTCTTTGCTTCGCCTGGCCACGGGAGGGCAGAGAGAACCGAGAGCTCATGCGGCGCTGGGGAGGCTGAGAGCGCCCGGTGATCCGGCAGGGGCGGGCAAAACAAGAACTGGGAGCTCATCAGCCAAACTCGGTGTAAAATCAGACATTGCTTCTGCCCAGGGTAGGGTCCTTGCAGGGGAAAACTCTCCCTGACAGCAGCCCAGCCCTCTGTGCAGGGAGAGCCTTGCCACACAAACCATGGGCTGGGAGAGGCTGATGAGCTCCAGCGCTCTCAGAGCCATCCCTGCATCCCGCAGCCATCCTGCATCCCGCATCCCGCAGCCATCCTGCATCCCGCATCCCGCAGCCATCCCTGCATCCCGCAGCCATTCCACAGCCATCCCACAGCCATATCCTGCATCCCGCATCCATCCCCTGCATCCCGCAGCCATCCCCGCGTCCCGCACGGGGCTGGGGCAGCCGGGGCAGAGCAGCCAGACTGCACCTCCCGCGGCCATTAATCACAAATCACAGATCACAGCCCTCCTCCTCCTCCATCAGCACCAGCTATTATCAGCTATTAAGCAGGCATTTCCATACAGCTGGCTAATTTGATAATGCCGCAATTATCTTGGTTTGTTAACAAGATTAAATTGCTAATTGGTTTGATTAAGCACAGAGCTGCAGGCGTGGGGTGCCTCTCGGCTGGCCCTGCATAACCTCATGGATGCCGTGCCCAGGGCAGCAGCTCCTCTGCAGACACGAGGAAATGGCAGGGAGGGTTCATCCTCCCCAAACCTGCTGCCTGAGGCCTCCAGATCTCCCTGTGAGAGGAGTCTCTACCTGCTCTGAGACAGCTCATGTCACCACTGTCACCCAGCTGCTGGCCCAGAAAGGCAGGAGGAGGCGCTTTGGGCCAGAGGATGCTCTGGGGATGTCAAGGCTGTCTCAGTCCTGCTGCTTTCTGTTTTGGAGCCCTGCAAGTCAGAAATCCCAGGGGCAATGCACCAACTGTGCCTCCACCTGCAGCTGTGTCAACAAATCCTCTGCCTTTCTCCTCCCAGGCACAGGTCCCTGCCTCCTGGGCACAGCGTTTCCAGCTTTCACCAGCTCTGCTGGGGAGCTTCCAGCACTGCATCAGGCTCACCTCTCCCCCCTCCATGGAGCAGCACCCACCTGGGAGGGGCTGGGCAGTGCACCAGAACACACACAGGTCAGGATCACTGATTGTGACAGGCTCCTGGCAGTGTGCATTGGCTGAAATCCTTGAATTCAGCTCTCTGGAGAGGAAGGAAATTTCCCTCTTTGCCCTAGGTAGGTGCCAGCAGGACAACGGGAAAAGCAATGAGTGCTGTGCCAGAGAGATTCCTCTCACATCAGCTGTTTGCCCAGGGCCAGAGCAGCCTGGAGAGGATGAAAGGTGTTCATTTTCTCTGCCTAGGGGCTCAGGACTCACTGAGGACAGGATCACCAGGTCTGGTGCTGGGAATGGGGCCAAAGGCTGCACTCAAGGGCCCAGCTTTGGGTCAGAAACATCCATCATGGCACATCACAGCAGCAGCAGCACTGCAGGGCAGGCTGCTGGTCTGGCTTACTCTATCCTCCCTCAAAGCAAAGGTTTTCAGGCCAGTCTCTCTTGGCCAATTCCCAAAGGAAACACCCAACACTCCCCAGCATCCCAGGGGATGGAATCCAGAGGGTCTCCCCAGGGATCCATCAGCACCACTGAGCATCCTTGCTCCACGCAAAGCCCTTTGCTCCACTCTGAAATGTGCACAGGACAGAGAGTGGAGAAGTCAAGTTTCACCCACAGCCCTGCAGAACATCTTTAATATTTCCTTGGAGCCTCCCTCTGCATGTGTTATGGTCTGGCTCAGAAGACTGGGTGGTTGGGGTCTGAATACAGAACAGTTTGGTGCTCAATGGTGATGTGAGACTTTTTCAAGAGATGATTCAAACCAGCCTAATAAGAATTACTACAGCTTTGACAGCCTTTGAAAGGGGAGGGTTATTTAGCTAGCCTGGCCTAGGAGTGGGAATCTGTAGTCCCAGCAGGATCTCAGCAATCACATTAGTTCCAGAGGAGAAAATACCCTGGGCAGAGCAGATCTACTCAGCAGCAGCTCTGCCCATGGTCAGGAGCTGTGCACAGCCCTCATCATTCCTGCTGAGGAGCAGCAATGTTCCAGGAGGGAAAAGGAGTCAATAGCACCCTGCTCCCCACCATAAAATAAACAGACACACACCTCTGCAGAAAAACAAACCATCCTCACAGTTAAAGGTCAACAAATGTACAAATTCACTCTGTGCTTTTCTGTGGGATGGTTTATACAAACTCAGCTCCTCACCTGGACCTAGGCCCTCTGCAGAGGCAGGGAGAGGGGTCTGGGCCAGAGCTGTCTCACACCAGCTGATGGCCTCCAGCATTTTCTTTCTGAAGGCACAGGGCTGCTTTGTCTGACATGGCCAGGACACACCAGTAACCTTTCCCAGTGCCCTCCCACCCTCTCCAGTGAGCAGCAGCACAGCACAGCAGCTCCCACCGTGCCAGGAGGGCAGAGGGAACCCTGGAATTGTGCAGAGGAGGGAGGCAGTGTCTGCCAACAGGGCAGGTTTGGGAGCAGGGGTGGGAGCTGTCTGTCACAGACATCTTTTCATGAAAATCCTTTCCTTAGGATTTTTGCCTCCTGAGAAGCTGAGAGGCCTCAGGAACAAAATGTAAACAATGGTTATCTGCTGCTGTGAAATGCAACAGGTACATCTGTGATTGGCCCATGTTGGATGTTTATGATTAATGGCCAATCACAGCCCAGCTGGCTTGGACTCTCTCCGAGCCACAAACCTTTGTTATTCATTCCTTTCTATTCTTAGACAGCCTTCTGAGAACCTTTTCTTCTATTCTTTTAGTATCGTTTTAATGTAATACATACCATAAAAACAATAAATCAAGCCTTCTGAAACATGGAGTCAAATCCTCGTCCCTTCCTTCATTCTGGGCCCCCTGTGAACACCATCACAAGCTGTCCCCTCTGCCTGGCTCTGGCACATCAGCCCAGCTGTGCACTGCCCCAGCCCTGCAGGGTGGGGAGCCCCCAGGGATGGAGCCAGGGCTGAGGGACGCCAGAGCAGCCCTCTGCTGTGATTTCTCTCCTGCCTAAAGTGCTGCCAAAGCTCTCACAAGCTGTTTGTGACAAAGGCCTCCAGTCTGGCAGGGAACAGCTCTGCCTGCCCCAGCCAAGAGGCAGCAGAGCTGTGCTGAGCTGCTTGGCTCCATCCCCTCCATCCCACCAGGAATCCTCAGCAGGCTGCTCTTTGCTGCAGCTGCACGAGGCTGTGCACACCCAGGAAGCCTTTCAGATGCTGGCAGGACTTCCGTGAGCCAGGCAGCCAAAAGGAAGGCAAGAAAAGGTGAGGCACTGACAGCACCCTGGAGCTGAGGGAGATCCCTACATGCCAGCAATCCTTTTCCCCATGCTGAAAGAGAAAAGGAGACTCTGCAGCAAGCCACACTGCATGAAGACACATGTGAGAGCTCAGCAGGAGGCTGGCAGTGGCACAGGCAGGGCAGCTGGGCCTCCTGGTGTCCCATGGCAGCTGGGCTCCACCATCCCTGCCCTCTCTGCAGCCCTGTCTCCCTGCAGAGAGGCTGATGGCTGTGTTCAGCCAAGCAGCTGGGATGTTCCACAAATAACAGCTCTGGCAGAGGCTGCTGAGGCACTCTGAGGCTCACATGAAGCAGTTTGCAGGGAGGAAAGCAGCTCCCACAGATGCCAGCCCTGCACCAGCCCCTGCTCATCACGCATCAAACTGCAGCACAGATCCCACCTTGTGG